TTCTGATTGAGATTGGAATCAGTGGCCGAATACCGCAATCCGAGTCACCGGAGTAACAGGTACCAGGCCTTGAAGCAGCGGCTAGAAGCTTGAAGATTGGACTAGATTGGAGCCTAAACATTTGAAGCTCTAAGGCCGATGATTGTAATTCAGAGAGCCTTGGAAAAACAAAGCAGCCTTAGGGCAGATTACATTGGGAAAGCACAGATCACAACTGAAAACACCCCGGCGCTTGACGGCTTCCCAAAGAGAAAGGACTTGTGGCGTACTCACGTGAGCACTCGTTTGTTTCTTTACCGCCGTGCATCATCATTAGTGCTTATCAATTAAGATTACATATGAAATTTGGGGATATGTATGCATTAGAATTGCGTACAGCATACACGGACGCCGTAAGTTATGATATGCATAATCTTATGCGTATTTAATTTTAAGTAATCATATTTAATCATATGTAATAAGATTCAGGCGGTATCGACTTCCAAGGTGAAGGTAGTATACTAAGGTAGCTAAGCATCAAATCACCGACACAGCTGTACATTACTGGACACATTCTCAAGGTGATATACTACATCTGCATGCCCACCTCACCGCCGAAGTGGTCAGGCTCAAAGTACCCCAAAATTTCATGTAGCATCCGGAAGTCGGGCTTGCCATTGGTGCGCAGCGGGAGCGGCCACAGCCCGGACAGGTCGAACAAGAACGCGCCCCCGCCGAGGATGTGCATGTCCGAGACATAGATCAAGTGCACGTCCTGATACTCGTACACGGCGCCAACGCTTGCGTGTGAGTCGGTGTGACTGCCCCGTGGGCACGTCAAAGAGTAGCGGCAGATGCACAGATGTGAGCGGGGGTTTATAAGAGAGCGCGGATGCCGTGCTGCCGCTGCCGCAGCTCTTCGTGGACGACGGCATGCTGTGCACAACGCCGGTGTTGTCGGGTGCAATGAGATGTGTCCTGCCGCCGAGCCGATCGAACTCGCACGCGGCGGGTCCGCGCGCCCGGTGCTGCAGCTTCCGGACGATGTCCTGTGGCAATGTCAAAGGGGGTGGGTCAAAGTGCAGTCAGTGGGGAGAGGGAGGAAGAGGAACGCACGATGCTGTTCCCGGCCGTCATTGTGAACAGGCTAGCAGCAGACACTTCCCCACAAGGGACTTCTTTATGAGCTTGGCTCTTGCATGGTCAATCCTAGCCAGTGTAGAGGCAAACTTTGGCCTCTACCTCTTGAGGAACGCTCGTGACGCACTGACATGACCCGCTGCATGTCGACATCTGGAGAATTTCGATGCCCATTACATAAGGGCTGACGCTGTTTCTGTGCTCGGACTTGTAGAGCGCGTTGGTGTGCGATTCTTGAGCGTGCGGGTGGTGTGCGCCGTATCTGAAATCTCGGCCCTTCTGGGGTCCAACATATGTAGCATACAGATTACATACGGGCAGCATAATTTACGATATGCATATGTACGCATATGATATGCCGTGCGTACGAGTAGGAGAATAATTACGGAGACCCCCATAATTAATCTTAAGATATGCTCAATCTGAGATTATAATGGTATGTAATCATAATTTTGGTGAGCACTAATCATCATCCTCTCATACATTCGACATCTCCCACCCAGCAGCCTCCAGTACCGACATCACCATGCCGTCTAAGCTTACCATCGATTTTTCTGCTATTCCAGCAGACGAAGGAGCGCCTGGATTCGATGCATTCTCTCTCGAACTCTGTCGCGTTGATGAGACGAAAACCGAAGACCGTCTTCGGGTTTTTGGCGCCGTGGGCATCACTGCATCTGCAACTCACGAGTTCTACAAGGGCACGTTGGCGCAATGCAGTCTCAATGATACAGAAGTCGACGTGTTCATCAAACTTGCATACACGTATAGTACCGACGACGTTGATGGCCTCCGAGCTGAGGCCAGGTTCTATGGCAGACAACTTAAGAAGCTGCAGGGGGACGTGGCGCCTGTGTGCTACAGGCTCTACAAGGGGAAACACATGTCAGAACTGGGCGATTATGTCATTGCCCTGTACGGACTAATGGGGATATTATCACATGGTCCCTCTATTATCTTGTAGTGATACGATATCTGATTACTCATGCTTAGTATACATGCTTACGCTCACAGTACCATAGGTCTTATAGCGGTATTAGAGGTCCTGGCTCACATGTATATATACTGGCCCTGTAGCACAGAATAAAGCAAGAGTTCAGTCGCACTTTAACAGGTTATGAGCTCCGGCCTCACGGCCATTCTACCCCCACTTTACTAGTCTCATTGCTGAAGAAGACCCCTCGGAAAACCTCGGTCCCCTTCACCCAGTTTAAACAAAGTTTATCCACGCAGTTTACGAGTAAGTCTCATTGCGTGCTAGTGGCAGACGGAGCGCTCACGCGTTCATTCCTGTGGAATTTCTAGTGCCAAAGGATTTACCCACTCGTTCCCCTCACTCCATTTTCCAGCGGTACAAGCACTCCGCCGGCTACGCGCCCACCTCCGGCAACACCAACGACCCCATCGAGACTGTCCCGTATGGTAAACGCCGCAGCAAAGAACTACGCC